GTATTTGCATTAAATTTATTTACTATCTTATGCTTCTTTAAGTTGTGTTGAGAATTCCATCTCCCGTGTGTACCAGAGCTGTGCTGTGCAGTCATCACCATTCAATCATTTATTGAAGGCCTTGCAGGTAAGTAGGTATCTGGAACTTGTGTTTTTTATTTAACATTCTGATGAATTTAGGGTTTGCAGAAAAGAAAATAAGCAAGAGGCAAGTTTTGGGAATTTTTGTGAGGAGGAGTCAATAACCTCTCCTCTCGTATGTGTGTGTGTGTATATATAAGTGCTATTACATTGAAATGACCACATTGCCCTTTAGTGAAATACCTACTACCATATATACATTCTAACACATTTTTATTTATTTATTTTTATTGATGTTTGAATATGCATGCACTTATCTATGCTTCCAGTTAGATGGTCTGTCCTCTGAAGAGACTGCCACCGTACAGCCTTGTATAACTGTGTTAAGAACTCTCAGCAATTCCCTTTGTGGAGGTTTGAAGACTGAGACACAGGTAACTTTTGTCCATTTACCAGAAACATGCCCAGATTCTATTTATCTATAGTTAGGTCAGCAGCCTAAATTTTCGTAGTAGATAACTGATGGATGGAGCAAGGGTATAGTGTGTGTGTGTTTTTTCCTTTTTCTTTCTGGGTTGTTGGGTGGGGGTTGGGGGTGGGGTGGATTGGTTTAGACAATTTGAATATGTTTCATTGGAAAACATGGACTCACATGACTAAGCTCAAATTTGGATGTATTCCAAATTTACTTGAAACACTTTCGGTTTTTTATTGCCATTTTTTATATATTTTGGATTGCTTTAGATAGTTGAATTTATATCTTGATGTCATAAAATTATCAACATATTGAGAAACTATTTGACGTAGATATTTTTTCTTGAAATTCAATATATCATGTATATTGTTTTGTTTCATGTTTCTAACATTTGATAGTTTTTTGTTGTATCAATGTGAGAGAGAGGTTTAAAAAAGAATTTTGAATCAACATTTTTCTGAGTTCTCTTCTCCAATCAATGTCCACATTTATAGTATCTTTTTTTTTTTGTCGCTGATGTGTGGACGACTTTTGAACTTGTAAAAAAAAAAAAAAGTGTGGAGGACTTTGGCCAAATAAAGATTTAAATTTTTTTTTTTTTTTTTTTTTTTTTTTTTGTTAAAGCAATATGAGGGGTCGAGGATTTATGAACTTCTTAACGTCAAGGATATGTTAACTTGTTATAAGTGGGAGATATCTGTGTGTGATAGTTGGAGTTTCTTTCTCCTTTTGAAGTTTCAACAGTTTAAATATCTTTCTTCAATGATATAAAGAAGGGTTAGAGGCTGAGTTTACACAGTATTGACAAGAAATAGAAAAATCTTTAAAGGAGGAGACACATTTGCTCTCCTTTAAAAAAACATTGACAAAGAAGGTAGCTAGTTGAATTAGCTTTCAGCTTGAGAAATACTCATCCTATATAAAAAAAAACTTCTGTTACTCATCTCTTCCCAGATGCACCACAAAATGGTCAACAAATCTCTATTTCAGACCTCCTTATCTTTATAGGTTGATCCTCCTACCCTGGAGCAATTCAAAAGCAAAGTTGCCATTGGACTTTAGATAGAAAAAAGATAACCACAAACCACCTCAAGTCAGTCACCCTGCTCCTTATATATATGTGTGTGTGCGTATATGAATATGTAATATTTTGAAATACAGCTATCTCTAGATTCTCTACATATCAAAATGATAACCATTAGCCATTAGTTGCTCATCATTTTTTTTATATAAATAAATTGTATAAAATAAACATTATATAAGTTATTCTAATATTCTGAGTAGATTGACTTTATGATTTATAGTTGAGGAGTGCTAGCGACAGTTGCTCGACACTCGCCTTCAGTGATTGGTTGAAAACCAATCACAACAGCCGTGAACTGGTGTGATTTTATTTGTTATTTTATATAGAGAAAGTGATAGTGTATTCATGTCTTTGTGTATGTTTATAGATATGTATGAACAAACAATCTGATGACTCCATTGTCTTCTTCTACTCGCATGTCCAGTCCTTTACATAAACCTTTCTACATCTTTTGTTCTATTTTGTTTTTTCTTGGTCAAGCTTTTGTAAGTTATATAAATCTTTAATTTGATTTTTCTTTTGCAATATTCTTTTTTGGTTCTAATTCTTATCCAAATGTGAAAATATTATTATTCACATGTCGTCTTGTGTTGTAGTGTTGGACATGTGATCGAAATAAATAAATTTATTATTAAATTTTTTTTTATTGAATATTATTCCTCGTTAATGCTTAGCAAAGTAAGTAGATGCACACATCATGAAATTAACATAGCGGGCTTACTTGGTATAATAGTAAAAGCTCATTCTGCGAAGCATAAGAATGTGGATCTGCACGAGAATAGCCACCTTATATGCATTCAAGTATTAGTGCTTTACCTGTTTACTTCTTCATACCTTATAAGCAGAAATGATGCTTGCTAATGGTCCATCTCTTTATCTCTCTCTATATATATGTATTTAATTCATGAAATAAAATTTTGGATTTGCTAAGTGGAATTTTAAGTCCATGTGCGTGTGAAGATTAGTAAGATTTCATTTTAGTTAGAATATATATTCTATTACCTTAGCTATGCATAATAGGTTTCACAAAGTTGTAATTAAAACTACATTGTTTACAGAATCATGTTTATTTTCAAATTTTCAAGCTCAAATGTTTTAAAACTTAAAATACAATATCAAGGCTACCCAACTTAGGGAATGCTTTATCATCTGGAAATGTCGTTAATAGAAACCATGCCATGGTGAAGTAACTAACCTTTTGTTTTAACTAGAGAAATATATGAAAATAATGGCCATAATATTTTGCTCTATGAAATCACGGTGTGTTGAGAAATCATATGGGTTCTAGTTGCTAACTATGATAAGATCTTAAAATTATTGTATATCCTGAGCTGTTGGCTTAATTGTAATGTCCTGCCTTTCCAGAAGGGATGTGCCGGGTTCAGCTCCCAATTAGTATGGATGTGTGCAACTTATCAAAAGGAATGACATTTATGTTGTTTTCTATCTTTATTTTTCTTCTATCATGTTATAGTTACCTTCTTCTTTTACATGTATATTATATTATGAGGCACCATTTCAGCTGACAACATTCTTGATTGAATTTATAGATTGAAGGATTCTATTGATTTTTCTTTTCAGTTCCCAGCACCCCGTTACCTTTTGTTATTGAAATGAAACTGCAAACTGACCAACGGGCTAGTGGCCTAGCGGTATCAGCCTCTTACCTCCCAAAGGGAGGTCAGAGGTTCAAGTCTCAGAAGAGACATGTATGTGTGTGTGAGTACCAACTAGGAAAAAAAAAAAAAAGACTGCAAACTGGTTTCCAATTTATGAGCTGAAATTTCATCTAATTTCTCATTTTGACAGGAACTTCTATGTCAAAATCCTGTGTTTTTGTTTCAGAGTTCTAATGGTGATGTACAACGTGCCACAAGAGAAGCCTTGCTGCAGTTTCATGTTTGGATCTCTCTCTCTTAGATTGATCTTGTTATTGTTTCCCCCCCTAGTTTCTCTCTTAGATTGGTCTACTTTCATCTCCTTTTCTTAATCTTGAGTGACACTAATTTCATGGCAGGATGACACAGTTAATTACATTAATTTGAAACTGTTGGTCGAATGTGCCCGTGCTGCAAGGATGGAATTACCTGCAATCATGTATTCTCATTGTTACCACATACTAGACATTCTTTCTGTTATTGGGGCATCAGCTGTGACACAGGTTTGTTGATATTTTTGATTGGCTTTATTTAAGTTGCATTATTTATGGAAGCACTTTATTATTATTATTTTTTAGTAAAATATATAGCTGGTCGCATCTTGTATGCCAGATTTGATCTTCAGGATCGAAGTAGGATCATACTTGAAATCTGACACAACTTTTGAATGTTTATAACCACTCTTGAAGTGAAATTTCAGATATTTAGTGTATGTGCACGGACAATTTGGTTAATTTATATCTAGTATGACAGCCATTCACAATGTGTATTTGAAGATCTTATATCTGCAGTTGTTCCATGTTGGCTATCTAAGTCCGAAAGCACTGACAAATTGCTTCAGGTATTTTTGTGATCATCTGCCATATCTTCTGCTCTGCTACCGTAGCAAGTTTTCTTATACTTGAATGCTGACTGTATTGATTTTTTCCTTAGATATTTATAAACGTATCGCCTGAAGTTGCTGAGCACAGAAGGCAGTCAATTATTGTGCATCTCTTGAGGTATGTTGACAAGTTTGATTCTTCCTTTGAATCTTTAGGTTTTGCTTAAGTTGACACTATTCATCCAAATGCTCCTTGAATCAAGAATGCAGAGGAGTATTTTTTTTTGACCTTTATGACATGTCTATGTCCATTTTACTTATCAAAAAAAGAAAGAAAAGAATGACATGTCTATGTCCTTCGTAGTTATCATAGTTAATGTGTGCCATGGTGTAGCCTTGTTAGACATTTTTTTTTAGACTTCTTTCCCTTTATCTTCATGAAGTGTACCCCCACATGAAACATTTACGAGTTTTCATCTTCATAATGAGATGGATCAATGTCTTCTCCTTTACATAGAACATCTAAAACCCTTAAACTCGTGGGACGATAACTGAAGCTGCCCCATACCTTACTACAAGATCAAGATGATATTCACCTAAGAATTACAGATAAATTAAATTAGGTAAGAGTGAAATTGTTGGTATAAGATCAAGAGGATATTCACCTAAGCATTCTGGTTTGATAATTTTGTAAGAAGTACTAATGGATGTCCCTCTGCCAATATATTTATATTACGAAGAAGAATCTCAAAAGTAGCATGCACAATTTGGATGTTTAATTTGGAAGTCTTTCAACCCTGCCAATACATTTATTTATCTTGTGAGATTGAGTTTCATCATTTAATAACATACAATTTCAACAATTCCTCGACTTAGTAACATTATCGAGGTTTTAGTTCACTTATTGTTACTTCATTGAAAGAACGTGACCTCATCCTTTTTTCAAAGTTGAACTCTGTTCTACCTCGGACAAAGAATGGAGGTTGCTGAGGCAATGGTAGAGTATCAAAGGAACTGTTGAGCATATGAACTACGGACGACATAGAGGGTCTGACATCCATATCTTCTTGAACACACAAGAGGCCTATATGGATGCATCTAATGACTTCATCTCTTGAATAAGAATCTTTGAGAGTTGGATCCATCAGTTCCAAAGGTGTTCCATCTCTCCAATGTTTCCAAGCCTACGACAATATGAAAAATGATTTAGAAAAATTCTGATACTTTTTTGTATTGACAAAGAAAAACAATGATTGCAATATTTTATCTATACTCACGTAGCCCAAAAGGCCCTCAACTCCATATGATTGATAGAAACTACGGTTCTTCTTGCCGGTTATAATCTCCAGAATTGAGACTCCAAAACTAAACACATCAGACTTCACAGAAAATTGTCCTTGCATAGCATACTCTGGAGACATGTAACCACTACAATCCAAACGTAAAAAAACAACAAGTAAGATAAAATATATATATATATATATATATAACTTTTTAATCAAAGTTAAAAATTATCTATTGATGACGTGATGCACAAATAAAAAATAAATATTTAAAGACATTAGAATAAGCATGCATATATTGAACTTCTTTTCCATTAGAAGTTCTAGTCCAAATCAGTAGTCTAGAAATTTATTAATTCAAGTTATGAAGAGGATGCAAGACTCGGAAACTTACAATGTCCCAACTATTCTATTTGTATTTCCTTGAGTTTGATCCATACCAAAAATTCTCGCCATGCCAAAATCTGAAACTTTTGGATTCATGTCCCCGTCTAATAACACATTACTAGCTTTAAGATCCCGATGTATAACTCTGAGTTGAGAATCTTCATGAAGATAAAGGATTCCTCGTGCTATGCCACTTATAATCTTGTAACGTCTTGACCAATCCAGTTGTTTTCCCTTTTCTGGATCTGTACATTAATCAATCATTGAGTTAACGAGGATTAAATTCAGTCACATTATACAATAATTTAATATAATTGATCAAACAGGAAAATCTAAACTCTAGGTGTTTCACTTTCATACGCTCTTTTATATTACTCAGGAAATGTTTCAAAGCTTTTTAAACAACACTTGTCATAGCGGACAGCAATTGCACTTGTTCACATCTTGAAGTAATAGCCTATAATTTCCTGCCTTCGTTCAATTAAGATATGAAATTAAAAACCTTCATCTTGTTATAAAATTAGGCAAAAAGAAAATTCAAGAACTAAAGATGTGTTGAGAAGGGTCGAACCGAATAAAAAGTTGTCGAGACTTTTGTTGGGGACGAATTCATAGATGAGTATCTTTTCTTGTCTTTCCAAACAAAATCCCAGTAACCTCACTAGATTTCTGTGTTGAAGTTTGGCCACCAGTATGACCTCATTCTTGAATTCGTTTTCACCTTGTCCGGAACTTTTAGATAATCTCTTCACAGCTATCTCTTGTCCATTAGGAAGCATACCCTGAATATATGTGATAGCAATGGAATTGTTATCCTAAATATTAGAGCAAGTATGTCACGAGGACACTAGAGTTTTTCCGATTTTAGAAATCTGAAATTTCAGAATGCTTGTACATGAACTAATTAAATTCTTACCTTGTAGACAGCACCAAATCCACCTTCACCAATTTTGTTATTGTCACAGAAGTTGTCTGTTGCTGCTTCGATTGTTCTCAAATCATATTCCAAGGACTGTACTGTTATCATATCATTTCCGACTACAAAACCAAAAAGTAAATATATTGTCCTTCTTAGAGACAGCACTAAAAAAACAAATGGTCCGAACAGGTACGAACAAAAATTTTGTTTGCATTTTTTTTTTTCTCTTTAATTTTTCTGTAAATACCATTGTATCTCTTTCTTGCTTTTGTTGTTATGCACCATAATGCGATGAATAAAAGCACCAATGCAGCAACTACTGAAACAACAATATTGACAGTAATTACTTGTGATGAGCTTCTTCCTTTTCCTGCATCAACCGAAAACTGAATCATGAAAATTCTATTCAAATGTACCTTGATTATTGATTTTTGTACAAAAACAAGAAATATAAATAAGATGAAATGTTGCAGAATTACACCTAATGGTATTGCCAAAGCCATGGTATTAGGGGTCCAATATATTGGTCCAATTAATAACTACAACCACAGTGCCTGTTATTACAGTGCATTACATCACAGTGATTGCTTCAGCAAATAATGGTTATAAGCCATGTTTTTTACCTTTTTAAGCTTCTAGATGTACCAAAAACACCACCTAATGCTATATATACTCTCCTGAAGTTATGATAAACATGATATAAGCTTATATCTTAAGTCATTCCTTAGAACGTCAGTAAGTTACAAACTATTTTAAGATTTTGATTTAGGTTAGGGTTTAAATAGATTTTTTAATTGATATTAGATGTTTAATGATCGTTGGAGATTTTGTTATGGATTTCACCATATATACTTTAATTGGAGAGTTGGAGATGGACAATTACAATCAAATTTAGTTAGCAAGAGCGTGAGAGAGGTAATCTTGTAATTGTGGTGGGAGTTTTGTGGAGTACTACTGAGAATTAAATTTAGGTTATGGAATTGGACCTTTAGAATTGAAATTGGAGAAAAATACCTGAACTAAATTTTTTTCAAATTTTACCAATTCCATACAGCCAAACATAACTTTAGGATTAATTGCAAAAAGAAATTATGAATTTATTAATATTTTGCAACTAATCGTCCTGAATTAATAAAAAAATTACAATAATCTAGGATTAGGGTTTAGGGTTTCGTCACGCACATTCCAAGTATATACGCATTGATTCGGACTCAATTAGGGTTTCGTCATGCACATTCCAAGTATATATGCATCGATTCGGACTCGAGTAGGGTTTTGTCAATTTCATCTCGATTTTTTCCAAATCCACATACATATACATAAAAGAGTCCATTACAGCGACATATATGTATACAGTATATATGTTTCGGACTTGTACAAATACTCCTCCTTCGGATAAATTTTCAGGAGTAACCATCTTCTATATAAATTCTCATAATAAGTAAAAAAGACAATAATTTAACAATTCTTGGACCTAACAACAAAAAAAAAATTGGTTACCATATTAAGAAGAAAACAAAGAAATAGAAAAAGAACATAGAAGATTGAAAAAAGTCTATTTTTTTTGGTATTTATAAATATATATATATATATATATATATATATATATATATATATATTATTTTGCAAATATTGAAGATAGAGAGGAAGATTTTGGCTTATATCTCAACCATCAAAGAATGTTGTCACCAGTTACCTGCTCCATCGTTATGAGGCTTTGAGACTAAATTAATCACTATATATAGCTGTACAAAAGATTAACGTTTTATGTGTTTTCTTGTACAGATCGAAGCCATGTACATATATGTCAATATTTTTTCCGAAGTACAAATTCTCATAATCAATTAAAAAGATAAGTTTAACAAGCAGAAATTTGTTATCAAATTATTAAACAAAAGAATATATAAATAAATATATATATAGAAGATTAAAAAAGCATCTATAGCCGCGAGTAATTTATATATATATATATATATAGAAAGAAAAGAAAAGATAACAAACCTTAAATAATTATAGATAGTAGCGGATCTGGAAGGAAGAAAGCAAGATTGGGGAATCAAAGACGATGGACGTGGAAGAAGATTGGGTTAATGTGCACCGTCAACAACTCGGTATGCAAAGAGAGAACGACCATGCATCAAGATCGATCATATTCTTGATTCATGCATAGGTAGGTGGTTTTCTCTTGCAGACCGAGTATATGACCATTGTTGTACGTACACCTTACCAATCTTCTTCGCCGTCCATTGCCTCCGACACTCCATCTATCATCCATCTTCTCTTCTCGATGTTCTCATCGTCCAACAACCTCCACCAACCCACCACCACAGAGACGATGGTTTTCATTCTACATGTGTGTGTGTGTGTATATATATATAGTCAGTAGATATATAAAGCCTTTACATTGGAGACCACGCAATTAACTGTCCCCAGTTTTGACTTGACATTTACGCTGAGTTACTTGTATATGGGCTTCCTCCACTCTTCAACGTAATATTAAGGCACCAAAATACCGCACGTATTACATTTTTTTTTTCCCTTTTAGTATTATTAAAAGACAAAAATAAACTATCTACCTTTTATTAAATAGTTATACTCTTGCTTAAATTAGGTATAATAACAAAATTTCATATATACCATTATTAAATTACACGTAAAATTTGAATTAAAAAAAAAACATTTCATTGATCTTTTTCTATAGAATAATTAAATATTTTTTTTTGTAATAAATCGGGTATTCTGTACAAGAGTTTTTGAATTGAATTGAAATTAAATTAATTAATATCTAATATTATCAAGTAACTAAAACTTAGAGAAACATAATTTGGCATATAAATTGCATTAATAATTCCAGCCCAGCCCCAGGCTGTGACTGGTTCAGCACACTCGAGTCTATGGATGCATGCAACGAGCTTTTATCCAACCAGTAACTAAGCCCAATAAGAAGCATGATCAAACATCAACCACAGTCAATTTAGAAAGTGTATACACAAAATCTAAAAGAAAATTTGTAACTACACAATAAGAATTGACAAAACATTTCCCTTTTAGAGACTATGTAATAGTACCCTTTATTAATTATATTTTCTTCAAATGGAACATACCTGGTGCTGTCGGAGAAGCTCCCTGGGTGCTACCTTCTCGAGCCAGTGAAGCATTGCACGTCTTGGACCCAGTAGACTGATTTGGGCAAAAGCAAGAAAATTGATTCAAAACACGGTCATATCCGCATCGCCCATCTGAGCTTATGCATTCACTGCATGATGTACCATCCACCTTCCATCTCACCTCAAACCCGTCTCTAATGACTTGACTTAACCGCGACAAATTCAGAACTTCCCCAATAAATCTGCCTGGAATGGGCACAACAACGCTAGCGTGACATGCCCCGGGGCCTTGAGCTCCAACCCTAACATGACCATCTGTGTAAGCAACCCCATCAATGGGACAAGTGAATTGTCCCGGGATAGGTACATCAGAAGGTGGACAACCATACATAAATGCAACATTTTCATAACCTGAAGCATACTCAAATAGTGTGGAATCAAGGGTTGTATTGATAAATTTATCTACACAAATATCCTCCATGAAGTCCTTTCTTGCGATTTTGAGAACTTTAGTATTTTGATTAATACCCAAAATGCGGTATTTCACATTCATAATCACTATATTAGGAACACCATCATCACAATCTAGCTTTAGTCCAGGATAGCCACAAGTTTCAGGTTGATCACTTCCCCGGAAAGGGTAATCCACTGCAGTAATTTTGCCACAGTAGAACAGAGTACCACACGTTGTGTACCATTTATTAGCATCGCTTGAAGATAGAGGAAGAAGATCTACTACAACCAGGAATATGAAGAAGAGAGATGGAGAAGGCGGGAACGAGAAAAGAAGGGACTTCATGTCTGGCCAAGAGGCGAGGGAGGTAGGTTACAAAATTCAGGAGAAAGTGAAGCAATCAGATATAGAACGAGGCATTAGTTGATGTGTGACACATTTTCTTTTAACATTGAAGTATCGCATAAATGACATGTTGCTCATATGGATCAATTTGTTTGCAAAACCCATGCAGAATTGACATTTCTGATATCTCAATATGATGATAGCAGCATTCACTTCATTTAGATATGTGACATTTTTTTTTTTTTTTTTTTTTTCTTTCTGTTACTAAAATGTCCCACATGAGGGTCAGGATTAAGATCAGGTTGGGTGAGGCATTATAGCCTAAGAAAGAGAGATCAAAAGAAAGACTTTAGCCCAGATGGAGCTCTCAATATTAACTGCATAGTGCTTGTCAATGGTTCGATATTCAAACAAACTTTTTTCAGGGTCGGAAAAAATGCATTGCAAGTGTAAATGAATATGTTACCTGTCACTACTTTAAAATCACGAAAACTTTCTTTGAACTACCAAGTGACAATGACGATCCTCCTACTGTTTTCCGCACCATTAGTCCCGGATTCATACATCTACCAGCTTGCTGCTTGAGAATGCTCCACGCCTACACCCTAGTTTCTCCCTAATTATGTTTGAAAGTACATCCCAAATCAATGTATAGTTGGAAAAATGTTCTATTTAGTTGAACTGCTCCTAGAAGTTTCTGAAACCTTTCTTCTATTTCATACGGAACAAACATTTTTTCAATCATTTTCTTGTTAGACTGAATTAATTTGATGTTCCGAATTTGAAAAGAAAAAAAAGAAGAAAAATTAATGTTCCCAATTAGGTCCCTTTGATATAAGTACTCTGCATTGCATTTGGATAGTTTAGCGAAAAATCAAGCCTTGCAGATCATCAAGTGACAACTTTTAGTCCTTTTCCTTTTTCTTCCAAATGATTGTATATTTTGAATACTTGACCTCTTTTAATTCAATCTCTAAGGATCAATCTGTGCCCGCTCAAACCAGTAAAAATTATTTGTAGTCTTCAAGTCCTGTTGGGCAATTGACAGTTACTTCCTCCACACCTTAAGATTTACCATAACAGAACTGTTAGCGTCTATTTAGGTTAGTTCTATGAAAACAGTTTTTCTTTGGTAAAGAAATCTCTGAGAGAGTTGAATACTCTACATTTTACTTTAGAAGGAGAGAAAATATCATTAAACCGCAATTAAACCGCAACGGGTCTATAAAATTGTGTCTATATATAAAAAAAAAAAAAATATAAGGAAAATGATATACTTATTGACTATACAACCGACTTGATGTGATAATTAAGATTTGCCATATACATAGGAATGTGTTTTTATTCTTTTAAAATGCTGACTCAAAATATAATCAAACTAATTCATTTAAAATAATAATAGTAATAATAATCTGCTAAATACCATTTCATTTACAATCTTACAGAGCAGGGTCTATAAACCCCCTTTCTATTGAGAAAAAGGCCCTCCACGATAATGTTACTCTCGATACCAGCATGCACCATATTATCGTTTTTAATGCGAGATCCCAAAAAAAAAATACTCACCTTTTTTCCCTCGACAATTAAAGCCCTCCAAAACTGGTTCTCTAACAAGAAAAATGCCCTCCGAAATCTCGCCTCTTCATCTTTGGATCACGATAAACCAACTATTCTGAACCATATTATCCATGTTTTTCATACAAGATCCAAAAAAAATAATAATAATAAAAACAAAAGTAAAGAAAAGAATGTGATGGGTGTCTTTTTGGACTTTCAACAGTCAACCAGCCTATGTGGTACCAGATATTGCAAGAACATGCCTCAACCCATCTAGTCCATATGGCAGTGCCAGAAATAAGGCCAAAATGATATTTAAAAACCCACACAACAAAGTCCTGCACGCAGATGGGAGTATAAGCACTTCATTAGCCGACAAAAACGCAGAAATTTACAACTTCGGAGTCCATATAAAAGCGTTTACAACGAATGATGATCTATAATGCCTACAAATTCCAATTCAACAACAAATCGACATGATTAAAAAGCTGGACGAATTAATGAGAAGGCAGTTATTATTCCTTTTCTTTTCGCAGGAGACCCAAACCTAAAAAGAAAGAGCAATTATTTCTTCTATCAATGAATCACAAAATTCTCAGCCTTATATACCGAAAACAAAAACATTCTCATCACAACATGGAAGGTCGGATTTCATTGGCTTGGAGGAGTTTCTTCACTAGTCTTTGCTTTGCCTCTGAGCATGTCTGTGAAACCTCCCCTCATGATTCGTCTCAATCTTGTGTCCTCCACCGGGGATTGCACATCAGGCTTTGCGGGCTCAAGAGGCTCTGGTGCCGGGGCCGGTACTGGTACCGGGACTGCACTTTCCTTTTTGCCCAAAAGGCCACCTTCGCCAAAGAAACTGGTCATAGACGATGCAATTCCAAGATGAGCACCCATCACCTTACTAATAGCCTCAAGTGTTCCGCCTGATCTATCCTTCATAATAATTTCAAGAGCCTCTTTGTGTGCGGGATCAAGCGCATCAGAGTCTTTTAACAAATTCTGTATGGCAGGTAGGAGTTGATCCTTAACACTAGCAGCAGAAAGATCTGCAGCAAGAAAAGATGAGACTAAGCACCAAATGGAACTTTAAGAGGAACGCAAATGCAAGCCATTGCACGTAGACACAAAAATGGGGATACTAGGCTTTATGATATTAACAACGGCTGTTAATCATTATGAAGCACTCATATTTAAAGTTGGCTGCAGTTGTTGGAAACTAAAGTTTAGCCATTGAGAGGAGGGGCAAGTTCATGTAAATGCATATATACTAATCCTTCAAGCTGCCTTTGGCTTGTAACTCTGGGATCCTGACTTTTGGCATTTTTCAATTACTCAGAACTGTGACTGCAGTCAGTTACTTCACCTTTCATGTGAGTAAAATTAGTCTTTTCCCTTGAAAATAATTCCTGACTTACAGGGGAAAAAAGTATAAAATGAAAAGAAGAAAAGTTCCTTCAATTATCTTCATATTTCCTCTTACCATCATCATATCTAATACGTCTTCACATAAGTTGAGAAGCATCTCGTCTAAAACATGGTTGTGAGACACAGCAGATCAAAAGCAAGTGATTTCTTCACTAATTAATTGTTCAGAAATTGAGCCCCAAAATTCTCCTTCACTATAAAAAAATAAAAAGCCCTAAATGTTTTACCCTCTTGCCATGTCACAAGTACAGGAAGTCTCCCTCCTTTAGCATCATTTCCACAGCCAATAAATACTGTAGGAGCCAAAAAAATTATTGACTACAAGAATTCTTAATTATGTCCTTAATGAATCTAATTAACCAAAAGCTAATACACAAGTATATAATAACCAAGAACAAGACATGACATTGCATGTTGGTTTTATTGTTATTATGAGGGTGCATGTTGAAGTATTCTTGGAATTTTGCCCATAACTAGCAATGCACTTACGAGGGATTTCAAATATATATATATATATATATATAGGATAAAAACAAAGAAAAAACAGTGTTTGTAATCCTAAAATATCGAACCTGTAGCATCCAGAGCACGGATTGCTTCACAAAAAGCATTGGCTCTGTCGCGGCGACGCATCACATCACTTGAAGGAAGTGGTGTGCTTGTAAGTTGGAAAATCTTGGACAATAGATGTATTTCAAGTTAAAGAAACAAAGAGTGAAACCCATCAACCATCATTAGTACCCAACAAAAAAAGTTCAAAATGACTAAAATAATATAGCATGGTGATAAGCTGAATTTCTGCAAGCATCAAAAGTAATTCTCCAACGGAAGATATTGAGGATATAATCTCTAAGTCTATCAGTTGTATGTGGTACGGCCACCACCAATGCACGGACCACAGCAATGGTAGCTTCATGTGATCCATCTTCAAGAAAAGCATCCATTTGAACACGTATTTTGTCAACGATCTAAGAAGTGCAAATTTGGGTCAGCCAAATGCATTGAACTTGAAGCTGCTCCATAAAATTTGTCAGTGTCAAACCAACTCCAAAAGATATATACCATTTCATTTTTAAAATGCTGTGCTACAGCTCCAAACGAATCAATGCATGCGTACTTTACATTCAAGTTTTGATCAGAGCCAAGAGTGACAAGAGCAGGCAAAACATGAGTTGAAGCAACTTTAGCGTCAATATATGGCACCTATCAGGAGAAAAATATACAGATTTACAAATGCGAAGCTAAAAAGTAAATGACATGAGAATTCCAGGAGAATTGATGAGCTTACAATGACTTTCAACAGACTGGCAGCACCAATTTTCATATTTATGTTGGAGCTTACAACCATTTCCCATAAGATATTAAAAATCATAGTATGATGTTCTTCAAATGTGCTACATAGAAAAGAAAAAAAGAAAAAAAAAAAGGAGGGGGGATTGTTCTAGTGAGTAATGAATTTAAACAAACATAACCTCAATATGCTGAAATCTTTTACAATAAATACCAACCAAAGGAAGCGGACAGAGTTGAAAATTTCGTCATTACGCTTCCCAGGCTGACCCTCCTGCACTGTGCTTTCAACTAGAAGATTTCTCAGGTACTCTGTCAATTGTTCATGCTTGCTAGGAGATCCCAACACACCTGCCAAGAGAAGGGGTAGGACACATATAGTAGAGAGTCTTTCAGCTATAGCAGATTTCGGTCTCAAACCTGTCGTGAAAACTGAATTAATGACCATGTTGTGAAGTAAAACATTATTAAAATAATAGAATTTTATTGAACATTAAAATTTCATCACCTCTGATTCTTGACTGAATAGTTGATGGGAAAAATGTCAAATCAGCATTATCACCAACTGCTTCCAAGAATACAGGCAGCATAATATGCTTCAGATAATAATCGCCAAAACGTTCAGAAACGGCCAACAAGAACTGCATAACAAATATCAGAATTAGAGAACCACTGGAACAGAACTAATATCATGCATAAACATAGAAAGAGTGTACCCAAAAGCGCCCCAACTAGTAAATTCCTACTTGACAATGTTACCTTTGTGAGTCGATTTCTTAAATTATCTTCCTTCTGAGGTAAAAGAGAGACAAGGTGAATCAAATCAGGAAAGCAGTCAACGTGAAGCCACTCAAATGCAGGCCATTCCACACGTCCCCTGACAAGTGATCAAAAAATTCAGAAGCAAAGTGGTGGAGGCTAGATTTTCAAAATATGTAATGACACTATGTCAAAATAAAAGGTCTTGTTCCACCTGAAATCGAAAAGGTAGGTGAAAAAGGCGGGTCACTCAAAGCTTACCCTGCATACAGTTCAAGCAGGGAAGTAGAAAATAATGTTCCAACCGATTCTGAAACAGCAGGAAATGGACATGTCTCAATTGCTTTCTGGTGCACAAACGAAAGCAATTCTGCCAGCAACCGTAATAAGACATCAATATTCCAGCGCTCTCTTTCGCCTAAAACACGGAGATTTGACTCCACAGAACCTTCAACCCCTGAAAGAGGTGGACAACGCTGAAAAGATAGGTGTATCAGAAACCATGTGGTCACATTTTTTCATGATTGAGGAAACAAAATTAAAAATAATAATACCTGAGCAGCACTCAAGATGAGAGAGAGTAAAACTCGTAAAATATGGTCCAGTTTGTTTCCCCAATTTACCAGAGCAGGGACTAGTTCTTTGATTGTAGTTTCTACGACGACTCCAGAAGGATCACAAACCAACTGAAACATCATATCCTCAACCTACCAAAAAACAAGAAGAAGAGGAATTGGAGAAACTTTTATTTATTTCTTTTTTTTTCCTTTGTAATCATATTATGATCATGGGGAATTGCTCCATTCCCTAGACCACATAGCTTACATTGTAGGCAATTCTGTCAAGTCAGATTTCTTCTCCATGATTGCCTCGAAGCATATTTAGTGAAGCTGACCTTGAAATATTTGTCCATATTTGGGAAGAGTGGAAGCAGCAAAGCCAGATTATGAGCAGCAGCCTCACGGACAACGGTCGCAGAATCTTCCATCAGTTGTTGCACAATAGACAAGATGAGAGAATCCCGGATCTCAGGCCGCACAAAATCTGCAAGTTCTCCACATGATTGCGCAACGAGCAGCCTACGTTCCTCATACATGTGATTAATCTACATTCATGAGACCAGAAATGTTAAAATCCAAGACAAAAGGGAAAACATAGGTGAACTGAGAGTCCCCTGCAAAATCAAAATTTAAGCTCACTTGTTCCCAGCATTGGGGAAGCAATTCTGTTTCTGTTCTCATCTCTCCTACATTCTTAGCAAGCGTAACACAGGCCTGAACAGGAAAAATTGAGCATCATGTTCAAAATATAAAGCTATAATACAATATTGATGTGGTAGTAATAATTAATAAAAAAAACTTACATCCATTATAATTCGCCTTTGTTGTTCATCTGGACGTTTTATTAGGTTAAATAATGTGTGAGTCAAGGAATCTCGTGTGCTGCTCTCTGGATGGCGCTCAATTGCACACATTATCAGAGGAAGGAGCTCCTATAGGCAAATAATGCAACATCAATAAAATATGACTAACCATTAACTTCAAATGATGATGATGATGATGATGATGTGGATGTTATTTAGGAAAAAATAAAAATGATGTGGATGTGCAAATAGGATTAAAATATTGAAAAGCACACCTCCCGATGGTTGATCAGAACATAAGGAACAATTTTAGGCAATGCATCCGAAAGGATCTGAATGGTTCCGAAACCCTGACAAAGTTGAACTATATTCAGATCGGGCGTATGATGGAATCTTCACTAAAGGTTAATGTGGTCTAAAGGATGAATGCTAGGAACTTACCATTTTCTCAGAAACAGGTTCACCAACTACATTGTCCGGTTTTAGAAGTAACCTGTTGTCTTCTAGTGGAGGTTCACCATTGTGTTTGGGGAGATTCTCATCATTCTTAGTAGCATCATTATCAATTGGAGAAATTAATAATTTCCCTTCGGAATATTTCTCATGTTTGTTATTGGTGTCATCATGGGTTCGATTTCCCATTAATTGAGCATCTATAGTTTCTAAAACGCCTGTTGTCATGTCATCTGAAGATGATATGTTATTGTTTTCACATATTTCATCAACTTCATTATTCGTCTCCACAAACTCCTTCCCGCAATTGATAGTTGTTTCAGTAGAAATAGATTTTTTCTCCTTTAAACTTTCTATTTCCTTCAGCAGCAATTTTATTTCTTCCTTGTAGCCTTCTACAGACTGTGATTGCACATCTTCAGTATCACCAACTACTAGATTCTTTCCAGACCGAGACCCTTCAATGTGCATTTTTAGTGAAGTGATTTCAGCTCTGCAGTCATTGAGCTCTTTTCTTTGTCGCTCCAAGGACTGCTTCAAATCTTGCACCTGAAAAACATGATATCAGCATAATTTGCGACATGAATTCATGACATAGAGGTTCTCTAAAAGATGCAGTGTATTCAAAGAGAAATACCAAAATCTCCTTGTCCTTGACATCCTTCTGTAAATTCTCCAAGGATTTTGTTAATGCCATAATTTGACCATCGGCCAAATCTTTGTTTTTAAGCAAAGACTCCTTTTCATTTTTCAGGCTCTCCTTCGATTTTAGCAAAGTCTCATTTTCTCGAAGCATGGCAATTTTCTCCTGCAGCAATGATAAACTTTCTAATTTATGTGCTGCTCAGAACAAGCAACAACTTTCAAATAAATTACAAAAGCATTTGATGAATATCAATTGTCTAAAAAAGTTTGTGCAAAAAAACATTGAAGGCTCTAACAGTTTCCAATAAACTTCAAGACAGGCAACAATTATAATGCATTACTGATCACTAGGGTAACATTTATGATGCATTACTAATCACAAGTTCAGTATTTATTAACAATTAATTTTGATCTTTAATAAATAATTAGAAAGAAAAAAAATACAAGCCACAAACATTAGATCAAACTAAATGACAAAATAAGAAATGATTATAGACTAGTCTGTTCACCATAGTTTCAATTTTCAGGGTGGAAAAATAGGAGATCCACCTTCATGAAGTTCAAGTAAAAATGAATTATATGAAATTCGCAATTTAAAACCAGGAGATAATTAGCAAAATAGAAATACTATTTGTGCAAGTCCAAACGACGAGATGCAAGGTGAGAACAGATCTATGGGAAAAGGGGGTCAAAACTTATGCTCTTCTAACATTTCAATGAATGAAAGTTCAAGGATCAAATTCATAGCATGAGCTTATACATTAATTCAGCAGTGTATAATGTAGAAAAGATATAGTCATCACAAGGGGGGAAAAAGGAATAATATACTCTCAACTGGACACCACCTTAAGCATCTTGCCCACCACTTAACAAGTGAAAGGAAATAATCATAATACACAAAATGTGGAATGCAAGAAGCAGACAATCAGGGCATAGATAGCGCATCCCTTTACAATAAATCTAATGTGATGCACCAGTAAAGGGCATTAATATCATTTGTCAAATGATTAATACTATTATACTAATGTATCAGCAACGTCTTTAAGAATACATGAAGAACAATTCGCCTACCCCATGCATGTTTCAGGGAGTACCTCGGCAGCCTCTGCAGTGGAAGAGAGGTACTGGTAATAATAACGGCGCAGTGCATCCGGAACACATGCAGATGAATTCTGCCAAACATCTAGGTTCTGGTCCGTAACCTGCGCGAACATGTTGACAAGTTACAATAACATCTAAGAGTCTTTTTATCTCTCTCTCTCTCTCTCTCTCTATATATATATATATATATATATATATATATATATGCACACGCATAAATATTCATACAGATATAAATATATACAGTTAACACAGTTCACATGTGAAGTGCTCATGTCCTGTTTGAGACATATTCCTAGAGCTTCTCTTTTATTTAAAATTTGTTCCATCACCAGAGAATAAACATGAGCAATAATGCCACAAGGACCCAATAATGAATAAAAAGAATAAGATTACATCAATGCTAAATTAAAACAAGTGTCAAAAGCTAAATTGATCCAACTGGTTAACCCAGAGGCAGTCACTAAGCCAGGTTCAACGTGTTAACTGCAACTTCAAACTTTTACCATAATTTTTTTTTGCTTTTTGATGCTGGCTTCAAAAGATGAAGCAAGAGAAAGCAAACAAAACAAATAATATGGATCAATAAAGAAGGATTAACCCGACTTTCCATGCACGTGAGCATGAAAAACTAGGAAAACTAATAAACTGAGAGATACACAGGAGAAGTTTGCATACCTCTTCATAGAATGTCATTGCAGTGAGACGGTAACCTGCTAAAAGCAAATATTCTTTGACAGCACAGTTGAGGTCTCCACGTTCATTGTCCTTCAAAGGGCCCAAATCAGATGAAGTGTCCTTGCGCTGTAGAGAGTCTGGTCCATGAATTGCAGAAGCATTTCTATTTGACCCTATAAAATGAATTTTGACACAAATAAATTCACAAAACAAGAGAAGCATTGTGGTTATTTGATAACAAAATTTACACAGTAAAACCTATAATGCACTATTAAAACTGTCTTGTAGTTACACAAAGTAATTGTTGATATATTCCAGCAAGGCACAACCATTGGTGATATGGCATATTAACTTTAAGAGCTGAATGCAATATTAGCGTCTGTATCCAGCACAGACCCTAGGTCTTCATTGCTTGTATCGGCAAAAAAATAAGAAATAAGAAATAAAGAAAGCCAAAAAAGAAAGAAAAGGGGAAAAGAGAGAGAGTTTCTTTGCTACTTTACCAGATAAACTCACTACTGGTACACCAAATTATGTAGATCAAGGAACGACTCAACTATTATACGAAAAAAATGTGTTGCAAGAAAGCTGAGACATCTAAAGGCCCACCACTAAAGCCTTACCACTCAAATCATCCAGATTGGACTCAGTTTTCTTCTGCAATTCAGTCTTCAGTTTTAGCATGTCCTCTTGGGCTAAACGAAGTTCATATTCACTCATTGCCAATTTTTCTTCCAGTGATTCTTTTTCTTCTAGCAAACTCTGGGGGTCCGCAACTGGTTCCAGTGGATTAAAAAGAAAAAAGAAAAAGAAATTAGCATCAGTCGTGTATAAATTAAAAACAATAGAAATTTTAAGTAGCTATTACAAATGGTAGTTGAGGCATGAACCCTATTTTCAACATTAAATAAGATAGAGTAGCAACAAATGGGACCCAGTCCGAGCATCAATTCACCAACCTAAGGCATAAAAAACTATGACAAGAAATAAAATACTACAATAGAAGCACCAAGCACTGAGAAACCAATGATTCAAGACTGGAACAAGAGCTATTTCAGATATTTATCAATCACATCACCAAATTGAAAAATGCAGCCTTGGTCCAATTCAGTTGTAGGGAATAAATCCTGGAAATGGTATTGGAGAACGGAGTACCCCCAATACCAAGTGTGTCTGCAGCCTGCAGGACAAAGTACGAGTACAAATTGGCACCACCAAGTCCAAGCATCAATACACCAACCTAAGGTATAAAAGCTATGTCATGACATACTAAAAACTGAGAAAGAAAAAAATTTACAATAGAACTATAGAAGCACCAACCACCAATTTAAAGGAAAATATATCCTAGGAATTGGCGTCAGAGAACCCCATACCAAGAGTGTTTGCAGCTTGCAGAACAAAGATATAAGTATTTCATTGTTAACAACTCAATTCTTCATGAAATTTCCAAATGTAAGGAATAGGCTAGACACACCTGCAGCATTTAGGTCTGATTATGCAAGATCTTCAATAACACAACTCACTAATATCAGAATTAAGTTGCTAAGTAGCCTCAGCCAACAGCATTGACCAACTTCTTATCTAATTCTTTTTCCCAACAAAGCAAGTTGAGCGCAATGTTTATGTTGCAAATCAACTCTCTCTCCATTAGCCACTATTTTCTGGATCAACCATTAGAAATTGATTCTTTCAGATATTTTCATTTGTATCTTGGAGTGCCTTCTATGTTTCTTCCTATTTGGGACAACATCTCCATAATTAATTGATACTGATTCATAAAGCTTCACATGGATCACCATTTTTGTCCATGATTTTGCTGAGTACAAAATAAAGTCTCCTCCTGCTCATAATTTTCTCCAAAGAATTGCTACGAAAATCCTTATTCCTCACCCTTTATGTAGTAGTCATCATCATCCTTGCCTTAATCCCATATGAATGGAGTCGATCACATGAATTCTCTCTCTCCAAGCTTTGGCTAGGTGAGGCCTAGACTATGGCTTCGGACTTTGTCAAGGGCCAAACCAAACCTCGTTTTGCAGGCCGTGTGAGGCCTAGCCAAACCTTCTTTTGCCTAGGCCATGGCTTCGGGACTTTATCATGGGCCTAACACTAGTTGATACAGAGGCTAACACTAGTCCACTAGACCTAAAACGAAGACAAATAAACAAACAAAAAAACTGGTTTTCGCACATTATATAATGCTGCTAGGTGCCATGTGTCAAATTGCAGGCTTGAAGCATATTCAGGCCATGAGGACATTCTGTTGTTCAATAAAGTACCAAGTTTCTTGAAAGAAACCAAGGCATTTCAAAGGTTTTTTATTTCAAAGATTTCACTAGGCAGTGAAATAGTTCCAAGAGCTTTTGCAGAACCTTCTAAATAGAAACTTTCATAACATCAAGTTAAAATCAAACAGATCTTTGCAGTTCAATGTGATCCTTCGCTTCATTACTTGTATTTTCTGTTCTAGGCTCACGCAGTGTTTGCCCATAAGGGTCAGTTGGGTTTGAGACAAATGAAAAGAAAGGAAAGAAAAAAAAGATGGGAGGAGACCTTACCTTGTATTTGTTATAATACTATGGAAGGAAATGAAGGGAGAAGGAGGAGTTCACACCCTTTTAACAGTGGTTTGATTTCGCTATCCTCCTAAAAACGGTGGGAAATGAAAGGAAAGGATAAATGTTGAATGAAACTTTCATGATACCAATTTTAACCTTAAGTTTATGGAGGACAAACAAAGTACCACCTCAATCCTAGGGCATAGTGGTAAATTCAATAAAATAGTTTCTTTTCCTTTCTCCCTCAAATATGATTAGGTGTGAACACTATCCTTTCATTTCTTATTTAATCAATCAAACATGATGGAAGGATAACACTAAAATTCCTTTCTTTTCTTTTCCCTCACAACTAATGTTATCATTTCTTTTCTTTTCCCTCATGTTGTATCAAACACAGCCTAAAGGAAAGAGAATTTGTTGCCTAGAGGAAGTAGGGTAAAAAAAACAGTAAACAATCTAATCATTTAAAGGCTGTGGTGACTGCTCTAGTTGGGATTAAAGAAGGTACTGATTTATTTAAACCTGATCATAACAGAAAACTTCCAAGGTAGAAGAAGAAGAAAAGGAGGGCAAATAACCAACAAGAGAAATGAACTGAAGTCATAAAACTTGTTTGCATGACTCCTATTATGCCCAAGGCATGGAAACTGGTAGCTAAATGGTTTCCTATGGAAGAGATACTGGGAAAGTAGGAAAAGTCTAAAACTGAAAATGAGGTGGTCAAATGGGAAGGAAAATTTTACTGAATAGACCAGAGTAGAGTCCAACCTTCAATATGAGACAAAATTTAATCAATTCCTAAGAACTGTGATTTAGCTTATTTATAAACAAATACTATACTAATTAGTAGATATTCAAAGCTATAGTTTACATTTAGAGTTATTTGATACAATTACCTTATCAGAGTTTACTTTAAAAAGAATTTGAGAAAGTTTCTATAGTAAAAATTACAAACATCATCATACACCAATTGAGATTAAAAAACAAATAGTCTCCACTGGAACTTGTATGATAATATAACCCTTATGAGGGGTTATATAAAAGAAGAACGTGATCAAGTTCATTTATATCAAATATAAAAGGTCGGAATTTTTTTTTTTAAATTCCTATTTTTTTTATGGAACTCATATTTCTGAAGTAACAGAAATACTCAGTAGTGCTTTTGATGACCCTAATTTTGATCCCATACTTTCTTTCCAAAGATTGGGATGGGATAAAGTACTATGAATTGGGAGTTTCTCACTCGTATCATTCCAATACTCCAACCCGTATAAAATCTAATAATAATACTGAGATTGAGCATTTTCAGTAACGGTTAACTACCGATGAATCTTTTACGAATACATGTTTATGTCATTATTAAGTTAATTACTGACTAAAGAAAATGAAGATCAAGTCCAATTGAGAAACCGCGAATTGTCTTTTCCCCTAGCGTCTTAGGGCGCACAATTCAAACTTAACAACATTAAACATTCATGAATGCCTCTAATTCCTTGGCAACACATACATCATGCCGTTGCGAAATTCAACGTCAAATAAAATATAGACTAAATTTAGAAAATACTTCAGAAAATACGGATCAATCTTTAAAAAGGACAATTTAAGAAACACCACCGGTAGAGACTGTTCCAAGATTGACAAATAGAATTTAAGAAATCAAGATTTGCAGGGAACACAAATACTTATGCGTATACTGATATATATGTGTATATATTATATGTAGAGAGAGAGGAGGAGAACCTCGGAGAGTATTGAAGCGAGAGATCTGATCGGGAGGGAACTGAGAGACATCGGAGAAGAACTCCTTGAGGCGAATGGCCTGAGCGTCACGACCGTCGTCGAGAAGCTCATGGAGAAGCTCGAATGCCGACAACAAGTAATTTTCTTCAATAAGAAAGTTGACTACGCAATTGCACAACGACGATCTCTCCACATCCATTGCGAATCAATCAACTCTCTCCAATGGAGATTCAACTACCACCGCATTGCGATGCCTATATATATATATACATAACTATATATTTAGATCTTCCCATCAAATTTTCAATTCAACACAGAGGGAGGAGTGAAAACGTTCTTTACTAGACTTGACAAGCCTTTTGGGTCTTTTGGAGAGAAGAAGGTTGCGTTTGGGTGCGACGCAAGAGCATCGTAGTTCATGATCTCGTATCGGTGAACGATCAAGATTGATGAGAGAGGATCGGTCACGACCGTATTGGCCGTTTGATGTTTTGACCTGGGAACTTTTGTAGTGGGATCAGGCCATTTGCATGAAATTTTGTGCGTCGTTCCAGATATATGGTCAACCCTTTTACAGAACACGTTAATATTAACAGTGTTAATTAGAGTTAATTAATAGTACTAGGCTACTAGCAAACTGGAGTAGTTATTTTAACACTGTAGATAAATTACAGTGACACCTCTAACATTTATTTTATTGGCTATCATATATATTAAATTAATCTATTTTTTAACAATGACATTTCATTTAAATTTGGTAAAATTAACAAAGGCACCCAACCGACACATGTCGTATCGGAAGAATTGACATTAGTGCCCTTTGACTTGTGATTGACTTATGTAAATCATAAAATTATATTTTTAACCTTTTTAAGTCATTTGAATGGATCAAAATAACCCTTGAAGAAGAAGAAAATCAAGACCCTATTTGGCTCAGCTTCCTGGGAGCTTCAAACCGGCTTTCAAGCCCAAAAAATCCATTTGAGAAGATTTTGAGGTTTGGCCAAAAAAATTTAAACGGGCTTTCAATGAAAGTGAAAGTTAACAAAAGTCCATTTCAAAAAAGCCTAAAAAACTTGCTTTCTAAGCTCACTTATGGGGAAGCGGTACCTCATTTTAAGTAAAAAAATTTGCAAAGACAATTTTGTCCCATTTTATTTCCTGAAACTAATTGATGCTGGGTACCCAAAAAGAACGATGTTATGCAGGAAGAGCGAAAAATTTGCAGAGAGTTCTTCACTCTCCCTGCAAATTCCAATTTTGAAACAATTCTTACGGGACTTTCAAAAAATTGAGTCTTGCTAAATTTATGCGAAGTTAGGGTTTTAAATATGAATCAACATATTTTATTTGAAATTGGGGGAGAAGCACACAGAGAATACACTCTAGTGCTCTCCTCCAATTCCATATATTAATATGTATTTGTAGTTTTGGAATGAAATTTAGTGTTTGTACACTCCTATTCATAATATTATTCTTCATTTGATTCCAACACTTGCTCTATTTGTCTTTGCCATATAGTTGTGTTTAGATCAATGTTTCGGGTATGTTCCTCTTTCTTTATAGAATTTCGTAGACCAATAAAGAGATTTGTAGCATAGAAATTCACTAAAAGTTTAATACTAGCAATTCTATTCAACAAAAGTCTCTAGCAATTACAATTTTAATGGGATTTTAATTCTCTTTACACCATAGCTATATATATATTTTGGTTTCCTCAGTCAATTCAACTTTCAAAACCCAGATTAATTTTCAACACCTGCAAATTCTCTACACTTTCCCGTAATTCATGCTCTTTATACTGATGTATAGTCTGTTCGTATGGTTGTATTGTTGTTTTGTGTATTGCTTCGTTGTGTTTTGTTTTTTTTTTTTTTTCAAGAAATTTTTCTGGGAAGGTTTTGTGTTACTTTAATAGCATAGTAGTAGTTTATTATTCTCCAAAATAAAAACCTCTATATATTCTTGCTTTAACTTGCCAAAGCAAGAAATCTCTGCACTTGTCATAGCTCTCTCAATTTTTTCTCTCAAGACTCAGGTTACACGTCACAATTCATACCCTTTATACCGATGTATGTTTGATGTGGGTACTATTCTTTAATGTTTTTTATTTTTTATTTTGTATATCATACTAACTTATGGATGCACTTTTAGTTGAAACTTAGATGATTTGAAGGAAAATTATCATCTGAATAAAAGTGTGGAAGTATGAACATATCACCTAAAACCAAATAATCTTAGATTTTGTCGACATACTCCATGACTTAGCGACATTACTTAAATAACAATCTCTTCATCTTCTTTCTTGGCATATATCTTCTTTCTTGATGTAAAAGTACAGGGCAATTTCCACAACAAGTCCATAAACATATAGGACATCATTAGATTCATACAAGCTTAATTGGTCAAGTTTAAATGCGTCAAAAGAGCCTTAAACTAGTTATACTGTTGATGTTTGCAACTCCCTATTAGATAAATAAATAGTGAATTATATATACTTAAACTAGTTATACTGTTGATGTTTGCAACTCCTTATTAGATAAATAAATAGTGAATTATATATAAAGTTCAAATTTATCAGCTCATATTCTCTCTAACATTGCTAAGAAATAAAATTCTAGTGATTTTGATCCCAGTATTTGGTCAATGCCTTTGGTGTTGTAATTTTTACATTATTGTCTAATAGTTGTGCAAATTGTGCTTCCCTTCAACTCCATTTTCTCTAACATGTCATCTAGGAGAGGAAATTTTATTTTACCACGTTAGTTGCAGGTAAATAAATTGGAAACTGCATTGGATAAGGACCAAGCCCCACCAACACAATGATAAAACGCTTACTCATTTGTGAATGTTGGCTGAAGTTGGCGAAGTTGCATCTGAATCCAAGTATCCTAGAAGGAATAATTCCCATGTTTTGACGTGAGTGTAATTCAATCTCTCTCTGGTTCTCTCTGTGTGTTCTTGATGCTCATCAAATACAGTAAAATAAGAGGGGGAAGGGCAACTATTTTACTCACCATTAATTCCAATGACCAGAAGTCAAGTAATTGTTTTTCTATGTCTGAATACATGAAATGAAGTTCTCTATAATTTAACAAAATAATTATTTAATAGTAGAAGGACTTTTGGGCATATTGTTACCAAACACATGATCATGTGAGTAAAACTACTTTTGCAGATAAAAGGACTTTTCAACATAATGTTAACCAAATGATTTTTTATTTGAAAATTTGTTTTTACAAAGTCATTCTTGTAAGCCCCTTATAGTGAAAGGATTTTTCGGATTAGGAAGGTTCCCCAAACACAACCCAAGTATATTTGAGATAAATAGAAATGAATTGTAAGAGCTCAAAAAAAACAATATTGAATTTAATAATGCTTTCAACATAATACGTCAACTAGGAAAAAAAAAAAAAAAAACATAATATGTGATACATTAAACACAAGCACAGTTTGGCAAATTTGTTAAATTTCTTTGTTACATAGTTATTTTACTTTCATCTTCAGAGAAACTATTTAATAATGCTTTCAAAGTAATTTTAATGAAAAGTTAAATATTCAGTTATTGAAGAACAAAAAAAAAAAAAAAAAAAAACTTTAGAATTGAAAGAAATATTTGAAATATAACTGCACTTTTTTTTAAAGGTTGAACCTTTAAAATTTTGACACGTGTTCATTGATGGGACCGTAATAAAAAAATTTGATTAATCAAGAATGTTTGACTTCTTGACTAATTTGACGGTGATTAGACCATCAAAAATTTTAGACATTTACAAAACATTCTCTATGCTTTGTTTAGCTAGGCTAATGCTATTAGCAGTATGAAAATGAATAATCTTTTTTACTTTTATCCATACAGAAAAATTAATATTGTTGTATTATATCCACTTTCTGTACACCTTTGCACTCTCCACTACTATTTTTTTCTACTTTTACACTCCCTACTACTTTTTCGTTCATCCTAGTATATCAGTAGGTGGATCCCACAGTGCCATACCCTTTTATAAATTTGTAATGGAGTCGGTGGCAACCGACACCAATTAAAACTTAATTATTCTTGAAAAAATAGGATTAAAAAGGAATTTTTATAGAATATACAGAAAATAATTTGCAGTCCGGAGTACAAATCACCCTTATAAAGAACATGTAAATTCATATATTGTGAGAACTTATTCTGGATAATGAGAAAGTACCAGATACATCTGGATTTTGAATCAGAATTTTATTATTGGAACTTATTTACGGCTCAAGTGTTACTATGAGTGTCCAACTATGCTATAGTATCATCACTTACTAAGTTAATATCAAGTTTTGACGTATAGGTTATTTACAAAAATAAATAAATTTACCTCATCATTTTAAAAAGTTACGTTAGTATTTTTTTAGAGTAATTGTTAGCAGCTTGGACTTTTTTAATTTTATTTTTCGTTCTTTAAAAATATTAATTTTTTAATTTAAAAATATTAATTTTTTAGTCAATAAACTGTTTAGGCACTGTTTGTGTCGGGCTTTAAGCCAAACAATGCTGAACGGCTCCTTATTTCGGTTGAGAAAACAAATATATAGATTTTTGGTTCGATCTGGACCAAACATGCCCTTACGACCGTTGCCCAAATTCTGAAATTGGACCATAAAAGAATAAAAAAAAATGGCTCTCTCGTAACCAAGAGTCATTCCAAGAGTCCAAACTTTGGGGCCTACTTTTCAAGAGCCCACTGGATCTATCTATTTGGCTCTCCAAGTTTGGACCGCATACTCTTAAAAATTGAGTTTTTGCCTATGGAACATGCTCTAACTACATCCATTGTATACATATTTACTTATTTTTATGACACTTCTCTATATTTAGTGAAAAATTATAGTAATTCTTTATGTTCAATGGGGTTTTATTATGCTTAAAATATAGTTTCCACGGAATACTTAATTTTATATTATCTGGAAAAGTTGGACCAGACTAATAAATAATATCATCCATACTTTGTAGATGTAAATATATGATAGATGTGATACACAGTGTGTAAGTGGACCAAATTGTGATAGTATAATAGCATAAAACATATTATTAATTTTAAAATTAATGTAAATTGATATATGTAGGGCAATGTGTGTGTGTATATACAAACACCACATACACACATAATACATGCATATAGTGTGTGTATTATATATATATATATAAGAAATGCATTTTTGTATAAAATTACCATCATCCTTGAGGTTATATATATAGCAAAATGATATATAGGTTATACATTCCTTGATACAATTTTTTTAAACAAAGTATGCTAACACCATTTTTTTTTTTTTTTTTTTTTTCAAGTTGTGAATGCAACACATTTATATAAAAAAATTTTATTTTTGTAAATGCACAAAATGGCATCTAAGTAGAGACAAAATCTTGTACCACATGGGATCCCTCTTCTCCATTCCAAGGGCCCCATTTAATAAGTAAAGGGAGACATGTTAATTTGTGTGCTTACAATGCTCTACGGTTTAGTATTCAGCAACGTGGAAGACCATTCACCGTTGATATACTTGACAGTTTGACAGCAACGCTAGCTCCAAAATTGCAAATGTCTTTGTACTCTACGCTCTTGCCAAAAATGTATTTATCATTTTGTACGCCTGGTCGATTTTCATTTCGACATTTCCTGGATTTTAAATTTGTCTTTTTTATTGGTTTGGTAAAGGCATGTTTGTTAAGTGGTTTTTTTTTTTTTTTTTTTTTTTTTTGATATTTTTGTTTTGGTGAGTATTTTAGCAATGAAAAGTGAAAAAATGAATTTGGTAAAAATTGTTTTATTTTGTATAATGGGTAAATGTTTTGTTGATAGAAGTAGTCAAAAGTGGAAACACTAATTTGGTGTTTTTACATTTTTCTGCACTCTAGCAACAGGTACTTGAGCGATAAACAGTATAATTTTTTTTTTTAAAAAAAAAAGGCTCTAAAATGACCTTAATTTTTTATTTTTTTTTTTACGAAACATGTTTTTATGTTTTTACTTCCAAAAGTTTTGCAACAAATATATATTACCAAACATACTTTCGATTACTATTCAAAATACTATACAACAAAACACTTGCTAAAACAAAACACGTACCATACAACCAACAAGCCAGTAATCTAGTAGTAGCAGATCCCTTACTTTTTAAAGGGAGGTCAGGGATTCGACCCTCAGCAGAGACATGTGCATGTGAGTACTGACTATAAATCAAATGCGGAGGAGAAACACTACCTCAAATGTGTTTATCCATTTAAATATGATTTAAGTGACTCATATTTATTACCTTTTTTAATTAAAAAAAAAAAACATTTGAAAGTGATAAAGTTGCTAGCCATGAGATGAATAAGTGTGAGAACCAAACGATTCCCACACTTATGAATCAAATGACTTCCAATAAATTAGGATTATCAGTTTATTTGGACATAAGAATTAGGCTTAGGTTTGAATTGTTTTTTTTTTTTTTTTTTTTTTTTTTTTTTTTTTTTTGTTGAAAGTTTAGTATAAATTAATGTATAAGATAAATTTCTTGTTTGACATTTTTCCACTCTAGTGGTCCCCTAGTGTAAATTCTTGTCACATCTAAAGAATCAACCTCATTCTGTGAAGGAGGGTCACGTTCAATGTGATTAAAAATGTCAATTTTGCAAGGGCCCAAGAGGGTATAAATCAGACGGCTGGCGATACTTCCAACAAGAGCCAATCATCAAGATTTTTTTTTTATCTCCCTCTTTATTTCAAGAGGAGCCTTATTGAAACTACAGACCACAAGTTCTCTCACCACAACCAATTCCAACTTACAGAAAAAAAGGACCAAAACCAAATCCACTTTTCAACAACATTTTAAGGTATGCATTTCTAGCTACTTTCGAGGTTAAGGTTCATCTTTTTCTTTCTATAGTCGCTAATAAAGTAGCTTATTGGATAGACTAAAATTGTTCAATTTATTCTGAACTCTGTTATTGTAAGAGCACAACTCTTATACTCTCTCTCTCTATATATATATATATTGAGAGTGGTTTATCTATATGAGAATGAAATAGGTTGAAATGGACAGAGGAAGAGAGATTGATAACAGAAGGCGAATTGGTTCAGTTAAATCAGCCACTAATTTGAATGGAGAAAGAGTTCTTCAAGGCAATCCTGCAGTGAAGAAACCCCATATGGATTTTTCAGAGGTATAATTCATACAACTATGAAGCCCAATCTATCTATATATCTATATATATATATCATCTATTGTCAAACACCAAAACCCTTTTGTTCATGTTTTTCTTTTGTACATAAATGTTTTGATTTTAATCTAGTAACACTTGTTGTATCATTCTCAGAAGCCCACTTCAAGAACCAGAGAGCTTCATCAGGCAAGGAGGGACATTGGTCGATTTAACGAGAGCAGAAGAGTTGCAGAGTCCGAAAAAGCACAAGCAGAATCCGAGCTCTTTAGCGCAAAGATGAAAGTGAGAGACCTTACATTAAGGATTGAAGAATCTAGTTCAAAAGCAAAAGCACAGATTCGAGACTTGGAAAAGCTAAAGAAGCCGAAAAGGGGTGATGGAGATTTGGCACTGGCTGTTAGAAATGTCGAAGATTATCAGTATGCAGAAGTTATGAGGGAATTGGAGTATGTAAAACAGGAACTGAGTAAGCTTAAGCTTGACATGGCTTCTGTTTTAGAAGAGAAGAAACGGGCAGAGAAAGAATCCGAAGCCTCAAGTTCAAAATTGTGGTCTTATTCGAGTTCAGTGGAAGCACTTAAGAAAGAAATAGAGGAGGTTAATGGAGAACAAGTACTCGTTGAATTGGCTCGAATTGAGGCTCTTAAAGAATTGGGAGCCCTTGAAACTCATAGAAAAGAAGAAGCTAATCAATACTCATCTGCAATGGAGGAAACCAGAAAGAAAATAGATGGCATCGCCCAAGAGATTGACCGAGCAAAAGAGCTAGAAACGAAATTGGATGTCACAACTTCTGATGTCAATGTGTTGCAGCGTGACCTTAATCTAGTTAAACAGATGGACAAAAGGGTTGAAAGAAATGAGGCTAGTTTCGAGGAATGGGAGGAGATGAACTCTCCATCTTTGTTAAAGTCAGTTTCAGAGGAATTGGAAAAGGCGAAGAAAGAATTAGCTTCTATTAGAGAAGAGGGTTTCCAGTTCATGGCCTCTATGGATGTCATAAGAAGTGAGCTCAAGCACGTCTCAGACGAAACAGCTCGATTGAAGAAAACAGAAGAAAAGAGAGATTTGTCTGTTCAGAATCTGAATTCGAAGCTCCTCAGGGCGAAAACAAAGTTGGAAGCTGCATCTGCAGCTGAAGAAAAGGCTACAGAAATTGTGTCAAATCTATCCTTCACTCTTGATCAATTGAAAACAGAAGCAGAGGCAGCAAAGAAAGAAAAGGAACTCATTAGTGAAGAAACTGTAAACGTCAAGACAGAACTTCAGAAAACCGAGTCTGAGATAGACTTAGCTGAGGAAAGATTACAAGCTGCCATGCAAGATCTCGAAGCTGTTAAAACATCGGAAACAACAGCACTTGATAGTCTAAGAACTCTTACCGAGAATGCAATGAGAGCCAGAGCTTCTGTTTCGCAGCATAGTTCCACGATAACTATCTCAACTTTTGAATACGAGTACTTAACAGGAGGTGCAGGCGGGGCTGAGGAAATTGCAGATAAGAAGGTTGCAGCGGCTCAGGCGTGGATTGAAGCTTTAAAGGCCAGTGAGAAGGAGATACTAATGAAAACTGAAATGGCTCATAGAGAAATCAGAGAGCTAAAGATGGAGGAGGAGCAAGTGTCCTACAGAACAGAGAGGTCACTTGCTGCAAAGAGAGTAGTTGAGGGAGAGTTACAAAACTGGAGAGAGGAATTCGAGAGAAACATGGAAGCTGAAAACTTTAAACCTAAGGGGATGATGCCTAGAAAATCCATGTATAGAGGTAACAATCCAACGCCAATAAGACGAACAAGGTCTCGGATGTCTGCATCACCTGCAGTTCGGACACCTAGAACACCTTCTTTCAATGTTAAGAGGAGAAGAAAGGTAATGCCAACTCTTGCCAAGTTGTTTAGTAACAAGAGTAATGCAAGGGATCGTTGACCCATGTAGCAGCTATTTTACACTCGCTTATAAACTCCTAGCAATTAGGTTACATTCAATAAATTGTAGTGTTACACAATTTTAACATTGTAAGTTAACAATATTTTAGTCTTTGACTAGGTTTCTCATGAAATGCTTGTCTGACTCTGTATAAGATATATAAATGCACAAGAGAAGAATATTGTGCCGGTGGCTGTTGGTAGCTCAAAATTCTATCTCAATGACCTCCGTCTTGGTATGATCTGATTTAAGGTTGTATCATGTATGTAATGCAACCTCATGATTTAGTGTTTCCAGAATTTATGGGCACATATTGCGGAAGGTTTTGCGATGGCTATGCGTGAGAGTAGCTGTAAAGAGATGTTCATGTTTAATCATTTTAGGGCATTTTTCAATAAGAAAGGATTAGCTACAAATTAGAGCAGGGCAAAAAGAAAGGCCTATGGCCACTAATGAAAGGAAAGGGAAATTGCAAATGACCTGCTGTCAAGGTGTGTGGGGCCCACACATTCCTGGAAAAAAATCCCCTCCAATTACTTTCTCACTGAATGTCGTCTAGTAATCATCTAATGGTGGTGATTAACATCATATCCCAACATATTTTTGTCTTTGCCAAGTCAGTAAATGAAGAAATAAATTTACTCAACTACACTTTGTTTTACTATATGTGCGAATCAGTCTATACGTTATACTTTATATAATATATTATACATAATATATTATTATACCATTCAACTTTATCTTTTGAATGAAATTAAAATACTTTTTTTTTTTTTTTGACCTTTTTTGCAACAGGAAAGAAATAGTTCTAAGTTTTCTTTATTATTTTGTTCTTCCCTCTTCCCTTTAACTGGTATATCATTTGTTTTTCTTCAGCTCCAAATCTTATCAAAAGTTAAAAAATTATTAGATTCACAAATTCACCTTTTGATCAAAATAAGAATTTCATTTTTAATTATTCTTCTTCGGATCTGCATTGTATTACTGTAGTTGTAGTTATTTTTGTGTTCTACATTTAGATTTTTTTCTTTTCTAAGATTTTCGTTCTTTCTGTTGAGGATGTTCAAATTTCAATCAACTGATCCATGAAGTAAAAGTCAAATTCATTAAATAATAGATATGTTGTATACATAAATTATACATATATATATTAGAAGTTTGATAAATATGAATTTAACCCAAATTAATGTCAAGTCGCTTTTTCGGTGCCTGTCTATCTGAATTGGAAAGCATATCATTACTCATGATGATTTTTTTTACTTTCGTTATTTTTAGAGAGAATTTCATAATTTTATTTTATTTATTTATAGTGGCTCTTCATATTAGTCTTTATAAGGGGTAAAACTAGAAAGGTCAAAAATATTGAACTCAACCATGGAAATTACTTCTCTTTTAGCTTAATATAATCTTTTCCTCGTAGACTTTGGCCATTGTTTATGAAGTTTAATGGCGTTTAAGATGCTATTAGAGGTCCCAAAGTAGTTTGTTTAAAAAGTGTCCAATCTACATGTAGTATCTAATTGATTTTTGGCTTAAAATGACACCAAGTAAACTTCACACCAAAAAGACTTTCCTGCCCAGTCGCACCGACTAATTATATTTGGTCACATGAGTAAAGTGAATTTATCACAACCATGTCTTGGCACCTCATGGGTGGCCCTCGGAGTCAACTATATAGGATTTTAGTATTATCAAGAACAAGATGATTTTAGTATCATCAAGAACAAGAGGAAAGTGAAATTAAATTTATAAGCCGTGATATTTAGGCAGAAACATCTTACAGATTTGCTGGGCAGAATCGATGTGGCAGTCTAGCTAGCTAAAAATTAATCTTATTTGACTTGTTAATCTTATTTGGCTTGAGTGTTGACATCATCTCACACGGCTTTTATTCATCTTCTCTCTTCGACCTATAGCTTGAACAAACTAAAATGAACCATTTTCATCCGAAAACCGATGGTGACCAATGGCGGAATCTACTACAACACCGCTGCTCCAGCATGCCGTTCTCACTGTCGCTCTCTCATGCTGAACAATATGAGCCATTCTCCGATCACAACCCCAATGAATGTCCGGTGAGCTCCATTGTCCGGCGAGATCAGTTTCGGAGCTTCATCGACCCAACTGTAGCAGCTTTCATTGAATCGTCGAGCCCAAGTATGGCGAAGCTCTGAGCAAATAGCGACCATCATTACCGGCAAGCTCTGATCCAAGGCAGTTTGAAGCGAGAAAGTAATAGAGTTTTTCAACGACCCAACTGACGATGAGTACAGAGCTTCAACGACCCAGACTAGAAAAGCTTCAAGTGACACAGACCGACATTCGGTGAATCCAGTTCAAACTAGTTCAAGCACCATCGTCGTCGACCTCAGCAACAAGAGTGCCTTCGCCGTCAAGTGGGCGGTATGGAACTACCTCTGCCCCAGGGACAGCATGATCCTCCTCCACGTCCGCCCCACCTCCGTCCTTTACGGCGCCGATTGGGGCACCATCGTCCTTTCCATCGACCCAAAGGTAGAGGATTTTGGGTTGAGTTCATTGCATGCATGTATTTTATGTGTTATTGCACTGGGGTGTAACCTTACGAGCCGAGATTGCGATAGGAGGCGATAAAATTGATTGAATAAAGATAATTCCATTAATATGACCCATACACAGAAATCTTAGAAAACCCATTTCATGTTTATAGCATTTTCACTCAAGGGAGCCCAAAGCCTATGTGCTCACTCCTTATTTATCATTTTCAAGTTTTCAAGACATGGCAAAGAAATTATAGAAGAAGCACCCCAGCGGCTTAGGAGTGTTTGGTACAATCAACCACATTGCACTTGTCTTTGTCAAAGCACACCTTCTTGCCTCCATCCATCCATCTACATATCTGAAGCTCTACCCAACAGAACAATTTCAGCGTCCAGAGAAAACAGACCCAGTTTCGGCGTGCGCTAGTTCAGTCCGGAGAGCTTCATATTGATTACAGTTCCGGTGCTCCATTCCGTGCAAACGACAGTGTGAACTTCTATCAGTGACCAGTTCCGGTGATTAAACAAACAAAACTTTGGTGTTGGCAGACGAGAGAAGATGTACGCAAAGGGCTAAATAATTTTTTTGCCTTGCCAGTTGTGCTGCCACATAAATTATGTCAAAGGAACCTTTCGGTACAAGTATCATTTTCCTAAATTTATCTATTGAGAAGAAGAAAAAAATCTAAAGCTGGCATCTCAGCCCATTCCACAATGAATATCTCGAAATTAAAAACTGACAGGCACTGGAGAAGGAAATGTCAACAGGAAAGGCCACAGCTCAAACATTATTAAGAGGTAAAGGTCAAGGGAGAGTAAGAAGTCATAAATTAATCAAATCAATAAGATCCCAGTATCAAAATATGTATCAGTAGTGTGCAGTAGCATCTGTATTCAACAAAGTATAAAATAATCTTATACTCCGAGCTTGTTGTTTGTGTGTTATTAGAACAGTGAATTTCGCTAGACAGGACTAACTTCAAGCCGTGCCAACTCAGAACAAAAGTAATTTCATGTCCTATGCCCTAGACTCCATCATCACTGTCATCCTCGTCTCTGTCACGCGGGCCCACACACTCAGAGTTATGCTAGCCGGCAACTTAGTATCTCATTTATTGGATGAAATGGGCTCTACCTGAAACCCATATCATTCGTGGATGAGATACCATTCACGGTTGTGGGTAGCACTGCTCTTGGAGCCAAAATTATGAGCCGGAACTAGGTCTACAGTCTACCAAAGATGAACTTGCAACTGTTCGCAAATAAAACTGCTATGATTCAATGTCAAAGAGGACAACAGCCATTGAACCACCCACCAGAGTTTGCACCATGAAACCAATCCCAGAATAGAACATCATACCAATTCTACAATGGATCATACCAATTGTTGAGTCCTCCTGAGACTTGCCTTGCACAATAGCCATAGAAGATGTGTATGTGCGATCCATATGACAATCTAGAACTAATCTAAGCAAATAGTCCCTGCATGTTATGGCTTTATCGACATATAATTACCTGCAAGCACTTGATATGGGCAAAAATAGCTCTCATATTAAATAAATAAATGATACATGGATTGAACAAACAACAACCAATATTTGTATAAAAGTTACAATATTCAGTGTATAATTTTATGCACCTCATATCCCTTGGGTAAACTAACAACATATCATTGAAAACGAAAGAAAAATAAGACACACTTGCTTATTTCTATCACAGACAACACATACCAAAACCAAACCAAAACTGAAACCATGAAAGAAGACAATTAAACAAAAGAAACACTCATACCAAAATTGTTTCTTCCAGGACAACTGCCTCATTGAGGTTGTGAGGTTCCAACCTGCTTATTGTTGTCAGTATGCAGCTGTGAGGGAGCCTCTGATAACAATACTGGCGTGGCCTTCATCATGCTTTGATATTGAAGAGACAGTCCAGGTGCTGAAGGCTGGGTTTTGTATATCTGATTGTACGCAAGATTATCATCAAATTCGTTATCAAAATTAGATGTAGCCATCGTAGTAGTGGCAACAGACTGGGATGGATGGACCGGCTCAGGAGGACCCACAAATTGTTGTTGCTTCTGATTAGAAGGCACACTAACAAGTGTGGTTGCTCCTTGGACTGTTCTATAAACTTTCGTAGCTAGTTCCGGAGTCGGTGGAGTTCCCTCAACCTCTTTATAAGTTACAGTGGGAGTGATCAAGGCAGTATGTGGATGCAAAGGAGGCCGACTTGAAGCAGCAGTTGCAGTTTCAATTAAATTACATTGCACAGACATATTGTGAGGCTGTGTCTCCCTAACAGGCAATAAATAAATTGGGTATGGTTGACTTGGCTGATAATGGCTGTAATGCTGCTGATGGAACGGGGGATGATACACTGGATAATAAGATGACATCGGCAACGGGCCTGTAGGGTATTGGGGTATGTAGTGGGCAACTGCTGGAACGTATTGCACTTCTTGTTGCTGCTGTTTCTGATCTGATTGCGAAGATAATTGATACCCAGAAATCGGAACTGTTTTCAGCAAATGAATCCCAGATGAAGATTCAGTCAAACCACTCTCTGATTCAAAAGTATTGGAAGAAACCCTTGTGTCCATCGAAGTAACATGAATGAGCGGGTCTTGGTAAGTTCGTGGGTGAGAAACAGCACTTGCAACACTATTATCACTGTCAAATTCACAAATCAAATGCCTAACTTAGAACTCTCACTATTACACTTGAAAATGAAAATGTGTTCTCATTTTGATTCTGCAAAAGATTGAACTTTATGTTGAATTAAACTCCTCTCCATTGCAGTAGTTGAGTGCACCACAGTGAGATCACCCACTAGCAATGTGGGACACACTGTGGGGGGATAGTGCACTCGAGAGAAGTTGAATTTTATGTTTAAAATTTGAATCTTCCCCTTAATTCCCCTACCTCCAACGTTTTCTAAGCTAGTAATAACTAATCACAGTGATAACAGAATTTAATCAAAGAAAAATAAAAACTGATAATACATTCCAAAATTTATTTCGAGTCCTACTATTTATTTTTTATTTTTTAATTTGTTCATGAAAATGAGAACTTAAAACTAAATCCAAAACGTATTAGGCTCAACTGAGTATATCAAAATTTAAGATCCAACCTTTAATGTTCCTGCATTTTCTCAGCAACCAAACGACTATAGAAAGAAGAAAAAAATGTGGGCAGAAATATCCAAAGTTACCTTTCCATTGAACCTGACAAAGGCATTTTAACCTTGTTATTCTGCAAATTAACACCACCATCCTCACAATGAACCCCAATCGGAGGCAAATTGGACATTGAAATGGACGAACTCGTGGACCCAAATGACGAACTCGTCTCCAACGCCATCGATTCAGGCACATTACTCTGATCCAAACCATTCTTAGCCTCACTCAAGCTCTCAACAGATGAATCCGAAGGACCCAGAAAATCGAGACCCATCAACCCGTTAACCAAACCCGACTCAGCAGATTGTCCCCTCTGCATAATCTTGGTTCCTTTCAACGCGTCGCAGAACCAGGACTCGGCTTTAGGATCCAAAAGCACAGACCCGATCGATTCGGGCTTCAAGGGGAAGAGGAACAATCTGATGCGGGAGGGATTAGGGGAGCTTACGATGCGGTCGTTCTCTTCGAGCATGTTATGGAGGTCTTCATCAGTGGTGACGGAGATGAGGGAATCGAGGTCTTCGTTTGGGAGCTGGTACTTGAGGGTAAAAGGGCGGTTGTTGTAGAGTGCGCGGGAAAGGTGAGCGGTAAGGGAAGATAGTGTCGCGGCGGTGGTGCTGCGATCCACCGCCACGATGCGGGTGTCGCCGCCGGCGTAACAGAGGGATTTGTTGTGTGGACGGGTGACTATGTGTCCGCCGTAGCTGCACATCAGGCGCAGCTTATCATTTGGGACAGCTGGAAACGTGTCAGAATGGGCGTCGGTGATGATGGAAGGCGGTGGCGGAGGTGGAAAATCCATGGCGGTGGTGGTGGTGGGAGAAGATCTGGGGTTGCGCCGTTTAGAAAGAGTGTGTGTATGACGGTGCAGTTTACTAATTGTGATATAGGTTTAATTATATTTTGTAACGTTTAATTATTTGACTTTTTAATCTTTACAAGTAGGTGACAGAGGAAGTGTCACGGTAAAATCATGGATGTTTATGTTAATCCCCTTTTTTTTTGTGAAATAGACTGTGAATGATGCAGTTGTTGGAAACAGCTGTTATGGGGGAGTGGGTGATACTAGGTTATTTAACGTTAATGAAAAGGTAATGGTCCACGTTAGATACGTACATGACGACGACTCAGAGCAGTAGTTGACATCTCACCAGTTCAATCTTAAACACAAAATATTTTAATAACACACGCCATGTCAGCTTTACGCTTTGCAATTAAGTAATTATGTCTTTAATTGGGGAAGAAAATGACTAAAGCTTTAGTGCCACAGCCACTCAAATGAAAAATGTACATTACTGGAGAACTCAATTTTGTAAAATATAAACACAAAAAACAAAAGCCTCAAAAGTAGAAATTTGAATCCAATTCGGGCTCGAAAACGTCCTTGCACGGCCATAAAATGTTTCTTTTGTGGTGTGAATTTGAATGAAAATGGAGAATAACTTAGAACCTAATTCAAACCTAACATATAAATAATAATAATGTCAACCTAATTTATTTTTACACTCCAAGCCAATTCAATCCTAATATATTTTATTAATAGTAATATTACTAATAAAACATTAATAATGTCTATCTAATTTAATAAATAAATAAATAAAATCCAAATTTAATCCAAATCCCGAAATGTAAACTTAAATTAGACGCGAGTTGAGGCTGCTTCCCTTATGCACAGTAGCATGTTTAATTCAGCAGTAATATGATGGTTCTAACAAATTTGTCTCACAAGGTTTGTGGGACCTATCACAGCAGTGTGGCGGGCTGTGAGACAACAGACTCTTAGGATAATACTTATTTCTTATTTCTTTTTCTTACTTATTTTTTTTATTTTTACTTTTTATTTTTTTGTGATGATCCATTACTAATGTGAGACAATTAATGACAGCGGTGGTCGTCCGTTGTTGTAGTAAGTTTCTCTAACAAAATTATAGTTGCCACTAATTTTTTTCTTTTTAAAAGTTTAAACAAACACACACTAATATTCTAAACTCAAAACAAATATATGTGGTCTATTACAAGCTCTTGTAGTAGCATGGCTCGTTTTTTTAATCGTGGGACCATATTCCTTTTTGTTTGTTGGATATATATATTTATTTATTTTGGGAAGCTAAATGTACTGTAAAGATGAAGATAGAATGTACACAAACAGCAAGCCCATACTATGCCAAGCCCAAAACAAAGTCAAACCCAACCCAAAAGAGGCAAGCCGAGCCCACAAATGCCCAAACAGAGGAACGAAGACAATTTTGTTGGATATTTCCTTAATACATATTATTTTTTAAACTTGATAAAAGAACAACCATACGACATCTATACGGGCATCTATACGGGCAAGAACATAGAATCATTGACAAAACAAATAATTTCAAATAGCACCAAAAGACAGTAAACCTTCCAAAACAAAACTAACACCCAGTAAGGTCAAGACATCAGCATTAACAATAACCTAAAACTTTAAAAGGTGTCAGTAATAGTGGGTTTGCTGCTAGCACCCAAGCAGGGCTAATTGAGGCAAAAGATTGAGAGGACTCAGAGTGATATGAATCCTTAAGATGAGCACTGAATTTTCCAGAAGAGTCAGAAGGTGGACCAACCAAAGCACCTAAAGATCCCATGTCATTTGGCTGAGAAAAAGTACTTCCTTAATACATATAATAGCTCCTTAAAATTTTTTTAAATTCAAGTTTTTTTTTTATTTTATTTTTTATAAATTTCTTACTACGAAAATAAATTGGAATGATCATAATCAAATCAATCTAGTTTTATTGATACAGAATATGCTTAATTTGATTCAGTACAGACAGTACTAATGGTTAGAGATAAAGCTCATTACTGAAATTTAATGGACAGTGGCGTAAGTAAGGAGAGGAGAACCCTTTTTGACCAATTCAATCAGTAGAAATTTTTTAATTAGGCGGGGCGCAAACAATATGATTATTTCTCTTCAATCACTTACTTGAAATTTTTTACTATTTCTTGTATAATTTTCCAACCATTAACTACTATTTGGGATTAAAATAAGAGTTGTGATTCAGTTCGGTCAAACACATTCTATTGCATTAATGTTAGTGGAAGATGGCCTGTTAAGAGGTGGTCAAATATCAATTCCTCACTTACATTAAAAATAAAAAAATATTTCCTCCCTCTCACAAAAAATATTTCTTTTTAAAAATTTAACTTTTTAAAGTGATGTTTTTTTAGTATTTTTTATGTATTACTAGTAAATGAATTATCAATTTATTCAGAATGCTGCTATGGTTTACTAAGTACTTTTTATAAATTTAATACAAAAATCTTAAATTGAAAATGTTACGAAAAAAAAAAAAAAAAGGTAATATGTTATAAAAAAAAAAATGTTATATCCCTTTCAAAATAGATGTTCATTTTTAAAAATTTAATTTTTTAAGAGGAAGAATTTTAATATATATTTTTTATTATATTAGTAATGAATAACGTAACAAAAAAAAAAAAAAAAACAACGTGAATTCATTTATGGTCAACAAGTCAAGCCTACCCCAGGTGACAAAATATGCTCATTTCCACCCGCAGCAGATTGCCTCAAAATTAATACTCTCTCTCTCTCTCTCTATATATATATACGTACTTACATATATATATATATATATATATATATATATATATATATATATATATGTGGATGTGTGTGTATTTAAAGGATATTTCTTGAGATGAACAGGTGTTAGAAGGCAGAGTGATGGAGTTGAATCAGTCAATTGAGTTCTCACACTCCTCAACCCTGACAGTTGAGATGCACCACTTTGTGCCCATGCCATCTTTCATGTTACCTCACAACTATCAGGTAATCCATGTCATTCCATCAGGTGAAGGTAGCTCGATCACTTCTCATTAATTTTTATATATGCTTAAGCTATATATATTACCCTTGTGTGTGTATGTGTATGTGAATTTGTATGTGTGTGTCTCTGTGTTTGTTTCTCTCCATATCTAAGATTAATGTGCCATGAATTAAATTTAAGGATGTAGAGAGGGTCGGCCTTCTGGTTTCACTGAATTGCTGAGACGGAATCTAGAGCTATTTTGGAGCAAAGAATAATGAAGTCAGATGAATAAGTGAAGGCCGATTTGGTTAAGTTCGATGACCTAAGAGGTGTTTGTCATATATATAAGGTGGGAAACACTGGGAACAATCCTGACATATATATATATATATATATATATATATATATATATATATATATATATATGTGGATGTGTGTGTATTTAAAGGATATTTCTTGAGATGAACAGGTGTTAGAAGGCAGAGTGATGGAGTTGAATCAGTCAATTGAGTTCTCACACTCCTCAACCCTGACAGTTGAGATGCACCACTTTGTGCCCATGCCATCTTTCATGTTACCTCACAACTATCAGGTAATCCATGTCATTCCATCAGGTGAAGGTAGCTCGATCACTTCTCATTAATTTTTATATATGCTTAAGCTATATATATTACCCTTGTGTGTGTATGTGTATGTGAATTTGTATGTGTGTGTCTCTGTGTTTGTTTCTCTCCATATCTAAGATTAATGTGCCATGAATTAAATTTAAGGATGTAGAGAGGGTCGGCCTTCTGGTTTCACTGAATTGCTGAGACGGAATCTAGAGCTATTTTGGAGCAAAGAATAATGAAGTCAGATGAATAAGTGAAGGCCGATTTGGTTAAGTTCGATGACCTAAGAGGTGTTTGTCATATATATAAGGTGGGAAACACTGGGAACAATCCTGACAAGTGACAATCAAATGCATTTACCTGTAATGAACATGAATGGAGTAAGTGATATACAATATTCTTAGATTTCTATACCTCCACATATATAGAAGTACTATGCACTTCTTTCTATAAAGACAATTGGAAAAGAGTTTTGAATTTTTTATTTTTTATTTTATATAATTATAAAAAGTTATACTCCCTCTATTTTATTATATTAATAAGACATGCGCATCTCCCCTTTTTAGGTTGTTCTAAATTAATTGTCCCATTTGAAAGTTGAAGCAAAATAATTATTCAAAGATATATATATATATTGACATAATTATAAAAAGTTATATTTCCTCTATCCTATATTAATAATTCATCTTTCCCTATTAGGCGGTTCTAAATTAATTATCCGAAAGTCAAAGCAAAATAATTATTCAATTTTTTTTTTTTTTGGACATATTTATGAAAAGTTACTCTCTATATCCCATAATAATTATAGTCTTATCACATTTGAAAGTTAAAAGTAAAATAATACTATTAGCTTTCCATCATTACCTTTTAAGATTTCAAAAATCTTCCAATTCAATAACACATTTAAACTTAAAAAGACAAAATAATAAATTTAAAATGAAAAATACGTTAATTATTAAAATTATTATCTTACAAAAAAAAAGCATGATGTTGAAATAATATCGTCAACATATGGAAAATGATAATTTTGACAATATCTATCTAATGACTTAAAACCGACATAAATAAAAAATATTAATTTGGCAAATCACGTAATACTACATAATAACCATAAATATTCTTTGTTGTTGTTGCTGTTTATTTGAAATCATTGGCCGCAGTCCCGACGACCTGGTGATAAAGATCCATCTCTCCTAGCGAAATTTTCCTAAAATATCATAGAGATATATCCTCTCATTGAAAAAAATCATTTCACGTTCTGAAGCAATTAGGGCTATAAAACTAAACAATCTTAGTTTTCCTCACTTGGAGATCAGTTTCAGTCCCAGATTTGGCCTCACCTTCGTTATCTCCAACTCCACCTCACCTGCCTGTGATCTCTCCGGTGAGTACTCACCACTGTCTCGCCTTAATCCTCACCATCGAATTTGACACCAGTCGAAATCCAAACAATCACA